GCCTGCGTCTATTCACATAACATCGCAGTCACACATGAAAAATATCTCATCCTCCTATATAATATTATGCAAGGGAGATGTTCCCAATTCAAGGGGGTAGTGTGTTGTGGGTAGACATGGGCAGAGTTTTTTACCGGAAATCCAGAGTCAAATAAACTATGTTTGGTTAAAGATATGGAGAACCCCAATTGACTCAATTGGTCATTTGAGGGTTAATGTGCATTGCAGCTGCTTTTGGCTTTCTGAGGTGGGCCCTACATGGGACACCCTTTAATTAAGCTATGTTTGGTGAAAAGTCCAGATAGAAATGGCAATGGGTTGGGTTAAAGGTGGGGACCATACTCCCCATCCCCAACCCCAATTTCTAAGTAATTCCCCATTTTTTATTCGATGCTTAGTGGGAAGAAAAATGAACCCCATCCCCCATTTCCCAATGGAGACAGGTTCTCCATCAAGGACCCAAATCTTTGATTTCTTTTTATTTTTAATTAAAAGTTTGTTTTGAAAAGATTTACTTAAAAAAGGAAAAAATATCATTAAGGTTTAACACTTAATTAATATTTATTTGAATTGAAATAAATATAAATATATTTAATAATATATAATATTTTAAAATATTTAATATATGTATATATATTTTCAAAATCTAAAATATAAATAAATATTTGAAATAATAATACATTTGAGGTCGGGCGAGGGCAGGGCGAACGTTCAAAATTTTAATACAATGTGTCCCGTATCAGACAGGGGGTCTTGAGAAGTATTTTTTTTGATAAATAATATTAAAAAACTAAAAAAAAAAGTAAGGCAGAAAGTTTTAAATATGGTACAGCCTTGATGTATCGATATTTTGAAACATTGGACAATGTAGAGACTTCACTGTCCATCCCTATTTCTGTTAGAGCAGACTCCATGACCATGACAAACCCAATCAGGTCGGGAGGCCAGGACAATGGTGGGACTAGAAAAAATTGCCATCCCTATTTTATAATTTGAGAAAGCCAAAATGGACTACTGGTCATTATTTGGATTAGCTGCTTCAACTTCTTTGAATAGGTTATTCGGAGCGTCTCAAAGCAGCTTAATAACTGAATGTTTACCTCGATCATCTTAAATGGGTATTAATTTATTGAAAGCAATTGAAAAGTAAAGTTTAAAAAATCGATACGATATAATCTGTATCGGGTGGGCTGTATCGTATCATGTTTATAGGTGTTTCGGGACCCACTATTTTTTAATGAAAAATATGGATATTAAATTATTCAAAAACCAAATTTAAAAAAAAAAAAAAACATATTTTCGTATGGTTCAAAGTACCGATATACTTTAAACCATACTTGAAAGCAGCTGCAGCAGTTTAACCAAATCGTGAGGCGTCATCTCAGTAACGGGCCCTCAGAGTTCTCTGATTGCTTGGCACAGTAGAGGGGGCGGTGCAAAGACTGTGAGCCCGTGAGAGAACATTCAATACTGGGATTCTGGGAGTGGGGACAATAAAGCAGAGAGGAAGAGAGAGTAAAGAGAACAGATGGAGGCTGACTAACCATGTAGGGATAGGATTTGGATTTTGGAATCTTTTTGAGGCAGGAAATATAAAGAAGAGTGATTAAAATCCTACGGTCTACAGACACCTTAATTTACTTTACTGCAATCGTCTTAAATTACTTCTTTAAAATTCATGCTTTTTAACATTAATTAGTAATTAATTACGTGCGTTGTATATATGAAATTTTTTTCATATTAATTATTTGAATTTTAGATATATCATAGTTAAAATAAAAATTAATAATTAATAAAAGTAATAATATGACTAAAATTATTATTATTATTATTATTATTATTATTATTATTATTATTATTATTATTATTATTATTATTATTATTATTATTATTATTATTATTACTACTATCAAGGTCCAAAGTATTGATACGATACACCCCATATCGGGACCCAACTCTTTTTTAATAAAAAATACAAGGTTCAAAATATCGATACGCTCGATACACCGGTAGGGGTGTATCGGGCGTTTCGATACTTGTTTTTTACCTTTTTTAATTTTTTTTCAAAACTGGTTCAGGGGAGCCAGTCTAGGACCACTCCGTCCCCTGAACCGGTCAAACCCCCGATACACCCACTATAGGAGAGTATCGGAAGGGTCCCGGAACGATACGTATCGGCCAATATAGGCTGATACATAACGATACTTTGAACCTTGAAAAAATATGTTAAAATATCTTCCCAAAAGTCATTCCCGCATGTATCTAAGTACCGATACGCCTCTACCGATATATAGAGACGTATCGATACTTTGAACCTTGACTACTACTACTAAATTTTGTGTTCCATTTCTGTCTTAAATAAAGATATTTTTTTTAACAATTATTTTTATTTAATATGTTGATTATATAACATTAGAAATGCTCCAAAATGCCTTTGGCAAAACTTTATACATTTTTATTTTTTCTGTTCGATCTTTTTTAAATATTTATTATTCAATTATGACACATGAATTTCTTTGAAAAGTTGGATCATTGGTCCATCTTTTAGATAAAAAAATAGCTTTGCTTTTGAATCAATTTTAAATTATATATTTCATCTACATTATATAAATAATTTTTACTTATCACACTTAATTTTTGTTTGACATAATTAATATATAATTTTTTATATATTCTTTTGATTACTTGTACTTTTTTATTACTTTTCAAATATTTATTATTTAACTATCATATCATCGATTAATCCATTTAACCTAAACCACTAACACACTATCCAAAAAAGTTTGATTTCTAGGTTGACATTAAGTTTTGTATTACATTTCCATTATTGATAAAATTATATCTTATGTATAATATTTATTTTTGTTCAATATATTGAATGTATCATATTATAGATGTACCCAATATTTTATTTTTTATAAATATATTACATTATATCTTATGTATAACATTTATTTTTCTGATTCTTTGTATTTTCTATTTTTTAAATTTTTATTGTTTGACTATGACACCATTTCATTTCTACGTTAATTTTAATTTTGGCATTCCATTTTTATCATTTATAAAATACTTCTTACATTTCATATTTATTTTTTGTTCAGTATAATGAATATACAATATTAGTGACGTGCCCAGTTTTTTATTTTTTGTATTATATATTTTATTTATTTTATTTTTTATTATTTAATTATGGCATTATTTATTAATGCATTTGACCCCAAATGGTTGAATTGCTTACCCACCATTGAGAGAGAAGAAAATGATTTTGTTTTCAATTTATTTTTCAAAATATTTATTTTTATATTATTAAAATTAATGTTGTGGATTTAATTAGTAGAATTTAATAATAGAAAAATATATCTTAAATATAAGATTTAAAAAGATAATATACCTCAGATATGATATTTAATAAGAGATAATAGGAAAATAGTTTTACTTTCAATTGGTTTTAAATTTTACATTCCATTTCCATTATTATTAAAAAAACATTCCTTATTTATCATCAATGTTTTCAACCTATTGTTGACCTGGCCGATTGAACCGTTCGAACCGTTACTCGACCTTGATCTTGGGTTTAGTTCTGTTGAAACTCCCCATTTTAGTTAAAAACCGTCTAACTCGGCTGGGTGATTCAACCATTGCCCCGTTCGACCTAGTAACCAGGTTGCAGGTTGCACACTTAATTATGTGCAAACTTTTGGAAGCCATAACTTTGTACTTCGATGTCTAATTAGGGTTATCTTTTTTTTTTCGAGTAACTTTTCAAGATCTATACGTCCTAAGGGCCTTAGGTGCCTTGTCTTGCTATTTTCACAAAAAAAAAAAACCTTTTGGCCCTAAAATGTAATTTTAATATTTTTATAAATAAAATTAAAATCTGAATTAAAAACATAAATAAATGTAACATAATACATATATTATATATAACATATGTAAAACATAATTAAAAAATATATGTAAAATATAACTATAATATATGTAAAACATAATTATACTATTTATTGATAAAATATGTATTTTTACACACACACACATAGTGTTGACGTAGAGCGGTTTGACTCATTTGACCTTTATAGTCGAACTAGTGACCTATGACTCAAAGGCAAAAGCTGATTGGCTTCTAAGTCGGTTTTTAAAACATTGTCTATCATACGTATTATTGTTTATTATGTCAAATATATGATATTAAAACTTACCCCTCTATATTTAAATTCATTGATAAAAAATGAGAGCAAATAGGGTAGTTGGTTATTGATATTAAATGAGTTGAAAAGAGGTAATTTTAACATATTCAATGCATCCAAATCTCTCTCATTAAACACAACATTTAAGGTATTAATTTGCATTCACCTTCATTGAATCATATATTTAAACTTTTTTGTTTTTCTCGTTATTAAATTATATAATTAAATTTATACATAATAAATTAATAATTTAAATAACATAAAAACTTATACTTTAATTGTGACAACATGGATTGGCCCATTTGACCCAAACGGTTTAACTTCTTACCACCACCTAAATTAAAACACTAATTTAATGATGAGAAAAAACAAAAAAAAAACTTTAAATATATAATCTAATGAAGGTAAATGCAAATTAATACCTTAAATGTTGGATTTAATGATAAAAAATTTGATGTATTGAATATCTTAATATCACCACTTTAAGTTTTATCCTCTTAAAATTTCATAAATATTCTTAAAGCCATTTATAGTATATGCTTTTAAAAGAAAATCGAAAGCAAGAAAAGCCACAAAAAGAAAACTCATAAAGTGAAAAATGAAAAAATAAAGAATATGGATAAATAGACTGTAGTCCACCTCAGAAACAACTACTCGGTTGGATCCCTGCGTCAGAGATAGGTCAGTCAAAAGTGGGTCATTCAGCATTCTCACCTCGTTCTCCAACTGTAGAAAAGCCGGTTTCAGGCTTCTTGTTTTTCCAGCCAAACCGGCTTTGGATTTTACAGTACTTTTAAGTCCAAAACGCGCTCTTTTTTCCCCTCCCCACATATTATATTTTTTGCTGATAGATCCATCTGCATAAATATTCTCAAGAGCAGTTTTCTTTCTATTAAGAAAGAAAATAAGAGCCATCCTTCTTTATTGTTCCGTTTTTCTTCTGCAGTTTTCTTTCTATTAAGAAGAGAAGTATAAAGTGAAAAGGAAGAAGAACAAAAGGTCATGGCTTTGAGAAGCAGAGTTCTTGGCTTCACACCTGCAATGTCGAATGTGTTCGGAACCAGAATTTTCCTGTTTCTATTCCTGTTTTCATGGGTTTGGGTTTCATCTGTCAAAGCCTCTGTATCTTACGACCAAAAAGCCATAATTATTAATGGGCAGAGGAGGATCCTTTTTTCGGGATCCATTCACTACCCACGAAGCACTCCTGAGGTATTAATGCAAATGTAGTTAATGGGTATCTCTGGTTTCAATTTTTCTCTGCATTTTCATCGCACTTTATCCATGGGGCTATCCAGTTAATGGGTATCTCTGGATTTTCCAACTTTCCTTTTTTAACTTCTCATAATTGTTTTCCTCGTCTTTAATGATTTTATGAAGTTTCTTTTTTTTATCTTTGGATCGATTGCAGATGTGGCCGGATCTTATTCAGAAGGCCAAAGATGGAGGTTTGGATGCTATCCAAACCTATGTTTTCTGGAATGGTCACGAGCCTTCCCCGGGCCAAGTAATTGAAAACTCTTACTTCAATTTCGGCTTCTCATTCTTTTGGAAGTTTCAGTTGTTTGATATTGTTAATCTTTCTTAACATCTGTAGTACTATTTTGAGGGGAGGTACGATCTCGTTCGTTTTATCAAACTAGTGCAGCAGGCAGGTCTTTATGTTCACCTCCGAATTGGCCCTTATGTCTGCGCAGAATGGAACTTTGGGTAATAAGAAGAATATATTAATGACAAAATAGCGAAATAAAAGGAAAACAAAATGCTCTTTTTGCTTCCCTTTTCACGTTTTTTCTTTTTTTTTTTTTTTGAAAAACATGAAGTAATATTTTTAAATGTCAAGCGTCTCAACTGTTTTCATTTCAGGGGTTTCCCAGTTTGGCTGAAATATGTTCCTGGCATCGAGTTCAGAACAGATAATGAGCCTTTCAAGGTTGGATACTTCGGTTCTTTTCATGCATCTTCAGATTTTCCTGTCATTTTTTTTAGTCCTCTCTACTGTTCTACTGATTGATTTTCTTAATTATTTTAATGAAGGTGACAATGCAAGGATTTACTAAAAAGATTGTCGATATGATGAAAGCAGAAAATTTGTTCGAACCTCAGGGTGGTCCGATAATTATGTCACAGGTAACGAGATAGACGTTCAGAGCATTTCTTTCTCGTCTTCCTCAATTTTTCAGAATTGGGTCTGTTTCTGTTTAGAGTCTAAAGTTCACTGCCAATTGAAATAGTCAATCACACAATGAAATGAGCAACTGGATGGAGAAACTGATGGATTTCTCTCCTTGATTCCCCTCGCAGATAGAGAATGAATATGGACCTGTTGAGTGGGAAATTGGTGCTCCTGGACAAGCTTATACTAAATGGGCGGCACAAATGGCTGTTGATCTTGGCACCGGAGTCCCATGGGTCATGTGCAAGCAAGATGATGCCCCTGATCCAATGGTAAGTGCCTATGCAGTCTACACTTTCTTCTTTTTCTTTTTTCCCTTAAAATATCCCTTTTTATCTTTCTTTTTTGTCATTTTCCTATAATCATTTTTGGCTCTTTTCGTGTAACATGCTTCTCCTTAGTGGAGCTTACAATTTGAGTGGTCGTGAATGAACATGAGGAAAATGTTTATTCTCGTCTGCACATGCTTCAGTTCTTGCTTTCTGAGCCTGTCTATCTGTTATGTTTTGTCGGTATTTAATTTCCTGTAGATTATGAATTTTGTTTATTCTCCTTTAATCATTCATAATCACATCTTGCAGTCACTTCTGAGAGTTGGAGGCAATAGAAACATCATTCCCCTAGCCTCCCAGATAAAAAAGAAAAAGAATTTTTTTGACCAAATTGTTTGGGTGGTCTGTGTTTCCTTCATTCTGGTTGAATTCTGCAATTTCTGGATTTCATATGTATGTATGCTTTGACAGGTTGTCTTGTTATTTTGTTGAGCAACCAAAACTTCTAGACATATGACATACGTCATCCATGCTGCTTCCTTTTAATTTTCTTTTTTTATTGATTTTCAACAGATAAACTCCTGCAATGGTTTCTACTGTGACTGGTTCTCTCCTAACAAGCCTTATAAACCCAAGATGTGGACAGAAGTCTGGACAGGCTGGTAAATTGCCTACTCCTGGTTAAGATCTAAGAAATCCCAATGCTGCAAACTATTTTCTGCTTCTTGAACCCCCCATTAGAATATCAGAGAAGTCAACTATAATTTTAAGAGATATTTTATCTGTCCCTTTGTTGCAACCCTCAGGTATACAGAGTTTGGTGGGCCAGTTCCTCATCGACCAGTTGAGGATATTGCATTTTCAGTTGCCAAGTTTGTACAGAAGAGTGGATCATTCATTAACTACTACATGGTATGTTCAACTCATTCTTTTACTACCAAGTGGATCAAATCCAACTGTCACATGGTGATTCCAGAATTCACTGTTATTGATAAAAAAAAGATTCCAGAATTAATTTACCTGAAGTTGTTTCTGTTCTAATCTTGTGCTCCAGTACCATGGAGGAACAAATTTTGGCCGGACAGCTGGTGGTCCCTTCATCGCCACTAGCTATGATTTTGATGCTCCAATTGACGAATATGGTATTTTCTCAACATTGAATCTTAACAGTAGTATACAATCACGAATCCAACAGATTATATGTAGTCTAGGTATCATAGAAGTAAGCACTGAATACAAGACAGCTGTTTCTCTAACATGCATGAGGAGCAGGAAGATAGCCATTTGGCAGATAACACTAGAGATCTTTTAGTTTCAAAATGGCTCAACCAAATTATTGAGAACGTCCTATTTTTGGACTTGTTGTGACAAACAGAAAATGATGGATTAATTATTACATTCTTCGTACTCATGTTTGCTACAGTAGATTTGCATGGAATGGGTCCCCCCCCTTCTCTATTACTGATTAACTGCTTCACATGTGGAACTGACAACTATAGACCATATGTATGGTCTATAACCTCAGGTTCTACTATTCCAATAGTTTTCCAGCCTTCTCCAAATATTTTCTAGAGAGCTTTCCTGCATTTTTGTTTGAACTTAAGATTCCCATATAGTAACTAAAATCCTCTCTAGAAAGCTATATACAAACTCTCAACAGAGGTTAATAATTAACCACTTCCCAGTTAATCCATGCAAAGAATAATGGAGTCCAGGTTAGTCTTACCAGATTCTCAACTCAACTTGTAGGACTACTCAGGGAACCTAAATGGGGTCATTTGAGAGATCTGCATAGAGCAATCAAGTTGTGTGAACCAGCTTTAGTTTCTGCAGATCCCACTGTGATATCATTTGGAAATTATCAAGAGGTAAATTACTTCTGTCTAAAAACCTTTTTCTATGGTACTCTATGAAAGCCTTTTTTCATAATCCATCTGCTTCCTATCCAGGCTCATGTCTTCAGGTCAAATTCAGGAGCTTGTGCTGCATTCCTTGCAAACTATGATTCAAATGCCTACGCAAAGGTGGCTTTTGAGAATATGCATTACGATTTACCTCCTTGGTCAATTAGCATCCTTCCTGACTGCAAGAATACCATCTTCAATACAGCAAGGGTGAGGAAAAAACTCTAGGTTGAGCTTCTTGTGTTCATTACGAGTGGCATGTTTGAGAGGACATTATACTTATTCAAATTATCATTTGTTCTCATTGAAATTTTCAAATAGTGGTAAAAATTCAACCACTTTTTGCAAGAAAACGTTACATAATTTTTTTTATCTAGAACAAAAATTCAAAAGAAAGCCATACTGGTCTTCTTTATGAGATAAATATGTGAATGGTGATGATGATTACTTTCCAAGCTTTTAATATCTATTTTCCTTTTTCCCAATTATTTCTGACATATTTATCCAAATTTCTGTATAGATTGGTGCCCAAAGTTCACTGATGAAGATGACAGCAGTTAGCAGCGAAGGGTTTCCTTGGCAGTCATACACTGAAGAGACTGCCTCCTATGATGACAATTCATTTACAATGGTTGGATTGCTGGAGCAGATCAATCTCACAAGAGATGCCTCAGACTATTTGTGGTACATGACTGAGTGAGTAATATGATCCATTATGTTCTTACTCTCTTTGAGACATGGGCAAAACAGTTATGCCATCAAAAGTCGTCATCATGACACCACCAATGTTATCACTATTATATAATTATTATAGTCACAATTGTTGTATTGTTGATGTTGCTTTTATTTTGGTGATAACAATGATACCACTTCTATATTCTTATCTTTTGTGCACATTCTGCTCTCTCTGCAGTGTCCAGATTGACCCCAATGAAGAATTTTTGAAGAGTGGACAGTATCCTGTCCTCACTGTATCATCAGCAGGCCATGCTTTGCATGTTTTCATCAATGGTCAATTATCAGGTAAGCATGCAATTCTGGCATTTTATGGAAGTGTACAAACTACTTTGCCAAATTATCTATGTTTTATCTCTTCCTTTTCTTTGTATTCTCTCTATATTGTTTTCAACAAGTTGCACTCATCTGTTTTATGACAGGAACTGTGTATGGAAGTTTAGAGAACCCAAAATTGACATTTAGTGACAATGTGAAGCTGATTGCTGGCATTAACAAAATCTCTCTGTTAAGCATAGCTGTTGGCCTTCCGGTTTGTTCTTACTCATTCTGTAGATGTTCTTGAACTTTGTCTTGAAGACAAGAAATTTTGACTAAACTAATGCTTTACGTTATGTGATTGAATTCAGAATGTTGGCACACATTTTGAGACATGGAATGCTGGAGTACTTGGCCCAGTTGTGTTGAAGGGTCTTAATGAGGGGACAAGAGACTTGTCATGGCAGAAATGGTCTTACAAGGTTTGTCTTCAATTTTCTTCACTGTTCATGCCCTTTTTCTGGAACCATGCCAAGGGGAATTATTTCTTTGGATGCTTCTCTGCAGATTGGTCTACAAGGTGAAGCTTTAGGCCTGCATACAGTAAGTGGAAGTTCTTCTGTTGAGTGGGAGGGGTCTTCAATTGCTAAACAGCAGCCTTTATCATGGTATAAGGTGAGGATTGAGCCTCAATTAAGGCCTCCATGCTAATCTTCTGATATGAACTGTAAATATCAATTTCTATGTTTGCCTGTCCACTAAGGCATCCTTTATTTGGTTATATGCTCAGGCTATATTTGATGCCCCAACTGGGAATGAACCACTAGCTCTAGATATGTCTAGCATGGGAAAAGGTCAAATATGGATAAATGGTCAGAGCATTGGTCGCTACTGGCCTGCATACAAGGCATCTGGTACTTGTGGTAATTGTAGTTATGCTGGAGAATATGATGACAGCAAATGTCAAAGTAATTGTGGGGAGGCATCACAAAGATGGTAGGACAAATTTTATTTGTTCAAATAACATAGAGTTTGCATTGTTATACAATTCAATTCATGATCAACTTTTAAACACCTATTAACCTCAGGTATCATGTTCCACGCTCATGGCTGAACCCAACTGGGAATCTATTTGTTATTTTTGAAGAATGGGGTGGTGATCCAACTTGGATTTCTTTGAACAAGAGAACTGTAGGAAGTCTCTGTGCTGACATTCATGAATGGCAGCCATCACAAAGATCTAGTAAAATTGGAAGGCTCCTAAGGCCCAAAGCACATCTTCAGTGCTCCCCTGGAACAAAGATCACATCAATAAAGTTTGCTAGCTTTGGAACACCACAAGGGATATGCGGAAGCTTTCAGGAGGGAAGTTGTCATGCTCACAAATCATATGATGCTTTTGAAAAGGTAAAATGACTAAATCTTGAATTCGTTATAGTTCTTTGAAACAAAAGTGGCAAGTCTACTTGTGAGTATTCAGTAAGAGCCTTTCTAGGCCTATTGAGCTAGAATATCAGGTTATTGATCAAGGCCTATAGGCATGTGATTGAACTCCGTCTCCCAAGTTTTGCATGACAGCAAGTAAAACTGAGTATAAACAGAATATACAGATTTACAACAGGTGGCTAGTAGACCATTTTTAACTGTCTAGCCCAATTAGCTTTACATTATGTTCCCCTTGAAACCTCAACCCAATACAATTCTGTCCTGCCAACTCCTTGCCTAGATAGTCCATCAGCCATACTATTAGCACTTCTAGGCACCCACTGAAGGGTCACATTCAACTAGCTTTCCAAGTTGCTTGTGCTTCATTTTTCAACCATCCTACTCTAGCTTTGAATCTCCCTCCACAATTATCCCATTATACTTATTCTTTGCCAAAAATCATCCCATGTAAAACAGCCAATAATTCTGCTCTTGTTGGAGAAAGAATTATAACTAAATTGTGCAACGCATAAATCTGATGGCTATTTTTTGCATCTTCCAAATATTAGGTAAAACTCGCTGTTCATTTATTCACCAAGTGGTATCATGCTTTTGTAACCTGTCTGTGGCATACAAGTGTCCAACCTTTAAGGGCATTAGGTTGAACAATTTGAAAGGCTGATGCGAAAGTCCAGTTGATCTGTTTGCCCAAGTCTGGACTGTTGTTTGTTGGATATTTTTGCATAGTTTTCTTCTATTGTCTTTCGGAAAATTTAACACAAATGGGTCTCTTGCAGAACTGCATTGGGAAGCAAATGTGTGCAGTAAGTGTAGCTCCTGAGGTTTTTGGTGGGGATCCATGTCCAAATATCATGAAGAAGCTCTCAGTTGAAGCCATCTGCAGTTGAGACTTGGCAATATGTCAAAGTAATAAAAATGAAGAATCATCCAGATTTATTCTTCTTTGGTGGTTATTTGAAGTGCCTTGGTAATTTGAGTGTACACCTCCAATGACTCCAAGGTAGCTTAGTTTCGGTTTTGGGGCAGGATGAAGTTGTTAAAGCATACAACACACCATATGGCGAAAGGTCATATAGATTTTGAAGATGAGGGGAAGAAGCTTCATGTACATAAAATACATGCTCAATGTCACACAAAGCTTTATATAATACAGAGGTTGGGGGNCTTAGTAGAGCACATCGAGACCACATATTTTGAGTCTATGTGCAATGTTTTAGTCTTTGAAAATTCTTACGCAGGCTGTTAGCTTGCGAGGAATTTAATCTCCTTTTCTTATGTAATTTCTTTTCTAAAGGAGCGATCATTTCATTACTTGCCCTTGCAAGATCGAATTATAGTAGTAATAAAAGCTTATGAGTTATCAAAAGTTGAGTCCTTGATTTTTGCTTTCTCTCTCTCTCTCTCTCTTCCAGATAAAAAATTCTTGGTTGTCTCTATAAACTAGTTTCATCAAAGCCACATTAGTTTTGTTCCTTCACTAGGATTGCATGACTCAAACTGTCTACTTTAAATTACTTAGAATATGCATTATCTACATTATCAGTGACTAGGTGCGAGGGGGGCCTTGTCCATATCAGGCGTATATGTCGGCTTTTCTAAGGAAGATGTTGGCTCGCTTTGTGCCATTATCTGCTAGTTGCCCATTATCTAGGATCCAATCTTCCAATGTCTTTATTACTGAAATTACATTATTTTTCTGTATATATTCTCAAGAGAAAGCTGCTACTCAAATATAATGTTGAAAAAAATATGTAATACAGTATTAGCAAGTTTTCAATATGGAAAAGGTATGCACCCTGGAAGTTTCCATGTAATATGAACACTACATTGTGCATTAAGTAGATTATTTCTATATGCTCCTCATACATACGGTTACATGCATTCATTTACTTGCGTACGTACACATGTAATGACAAAAAGAACTGATCAATCCACTGTTTTTTTAAGACATTCGCTCCCAAATCAGAATTGATGACCATTTCTGAGTTGGAGCAGCTCCTTGATGTATTTGACCAAGTACCTTATAGCTTTACTTTCAGTTTCAGCCAGCTAATAAAATGCAGCCATCCCCCATCAGAATCTACCTTTGAAGCTGATATATCCTCTACAATATCTAACACACTAAACAGGTGGCCCCCTGCAACAGTCCCCTTTATCTCTGTGTGTTCAATCCAGTATATCAAGTTTCATTTGACAAAAAGTATAGCACCAATTGCAATAATACGAAGCAGAAGTTCGCTTCTTTAGCCTACACAATTGCATAACCCAATACGTCCGGTACTTATATTTTAGAGGATTTACAACTATTGTCAGTATATCCCACTAGGCCATATGATATGATCTTCCTGTTTGTCCCTTAATTTGAGATTCTTTTAACTTTTTTTTTTCTTGCAACCAGCTGTATCACCGTTATGACTAGACGAGCAATGTTGGAGTTTTTTCTTTTAATGGTCCAAGAAAGATCCCCAACATTTTGGTCAAAAAATCAACCAAAAGATCTTTATAGGATTCTCTCATGAGCCCCATTCCCAGAGAAGAACATCAGTAGCGAGGAAAAAAAGATGCAGCCCAGAAAACCAACCATGAAGTCCTGCCGCACAAGAACTGAAAAAGAGTTTTACTGGTGGGATCGAAGCAATAGAATTCCAATGGAAAACTTTGCTAATTTCCCATTCATGATCCCCGCCTCTGCTGCTCTTTACCTGACATTTTTTCTGTAATCATGCAATAAGGACAAAATAGGATGTTCACGGTCCAGTAGAAAATCTCAGAGTAAACCAAAAAATTAGTCTGAGAAATTCTCAGATCAGACCAAACCGTTTTAGTATAAAATTTCTATTACAATCAGGTCCGGTTTCTACTATGGATTGGGCCATTTTAATAGGCTTAACCCAATTTGAAAGCCAAAATGACATACGTATAAATAACAAATATAATACAAGTATTCAATTGAGAATCTGAAATATATTGATTTAGTCTGGTCTAATTTCTTAAATTCAGAAAACTAGATTGATACCATAAACTGAAATTTTAAAATTTTCTAAACCAAACTGCCAATTTCAGTTTGGTTTGGTCCAATTTAGAGGTTTGGACCAGAACACCCCTAGGACAAAAGACAAAAGTCACAATCATGGTCCCATTTATAGGACCACAATCAGACAGGAGCTTACTTTTTTGGCATGAGAAAGCAATTCCCTAATAAGCACCAAGTGACCACTCTCAGACTCAAATCTATGTTCTCAGACTTGTCAGCCCCCAATGAGAAATTATTGGCTCCTACCTGGTTAGAGGGATTATGTCGACAAAATGCATTTTATAGTTGAATTTTAGGGTTTAGGGTTTTAAGGTTTAAGATTTAGGATTTAAGTATAAAAATCAAGAAATTGCCAGATGCTTTTGACCGACCACAGAAGGAGCGAACTAAGGCCCTAGCCCAATGTTCAATCATTGCCGTACGGTTGGACTGGAAAAACCAGGAACCGGTCACTTGATCGGTTCCGTTTTACCCCAAAACTGTTTTTTTGCCAAAAACCATTGATTTGGTCAGCAAATTGCTGACCTGAGCAGTCGAACCGTCCAACAGTTTTTGGTCATTTTTAATTTTTTTATTTTTTTGTCAGAACAGGCCATCCATTCAGTTTGAATGATCAGACTGTTCGACCCAGGAACTGGACCCCTAAACAGTTTGCCGTCCGATTCGGTTTTAAAAACCTTAAGAAAAAGTATGTTTTGATACCATTTCCGTGGATAGACCCCACCACATTGGCTGAGCTTTGCATCTAGTATTGAATATTGATAACACTATTTCAACTTGAAGATATGTAGAGAAGCTATTCTCCTGATGAATATAGTGATGGATAATCAACTATAGAAATGGATTAACTAAACTCCTTTTGATCTTTAGCATAAATTTTCAGCCAGAAAACGTTTTTCTAATTAACAAATTTAATGCCATCGTAAGTATTTTCTGGTAAAGGGATATGAATTGGGCAACGATTTGAATGGTTCAAACACAACAAAAACCAGGTTTTGGGAGAACCGGAATTATGGTAGGTTGACGATTTGAATGGTTCAAACAGGCAGAGATTCAGAAGGCTATCAAGTTTGAGATTCAGACTATAGTTTTCAAAACCGAATCAGATCAGACGGTCAGACCAGAAAAACCGGGAACCGGTCAGGTGATCGATTTCGGTTTTCCCCAAAATCATTGATTTTGGTCAGCAAACCGGTGACCCAGGCAGTTAACCACTCGAACCGTTCAAACAGTTTTGACCTTTTTAATTTTTCTAATTTTTTATTTTTTTTGTCAGAACGGGCTGACCGTTCGACCCGGTAACCGGACCCCTGACCAGTTCAGTCTCTGGGTCGGTTTTAAAAACCATGATTCAGACATATTTCAAATTGTGAGAACCAATCAAATAATTAAAAATAAAGGACAATAAACAATTTTCTGAAGTCCGCTTTACAGTGGAATTACAGTTTTAGTTGTATGTGAAATGAGTGGAAAACAAATATTTTCCACTATGTAAATGTAGGAGAACGGCATTCCTTCTGATTTTCCATTAAGTTATTTTCAAACAAAGATGGGTCATCTCCATTCATATAATTCCCAATTACTCAATTCCGTTCAAGTAAAGAAAGACACTAGGAAATTTGGGAATATGATTTGTTAATTGTTATCCAGTATAACTTGTAGGCGAAGACCCATAAGAGGTAGAGACAAAAACACCTCCCCACTAACATTACTATTACAACAACTAAGTAAAAATGATTACCCTTTTTCTTCCTCTCCTTTCTTTTTCTTTCTATCCCTGCTTACACTATTTTCAAGACAGCACAACCTAAAGAGATGTCACAAACCAACCATAGGTTGAAGGATAGCATATTCTCCTTTTATCTACTGAACCTTCTTAGAAGATATTTTACAATTCAAAGTTCTAACAACATCATCCAAGGCACTGGAAGCTGGGAAGTGATGACTCCATTGCACCAATCTCCTGTGAAGATCCATTAACATCAGAACTCCCCCTTCATCTTCATCATGTTGGCATTGGAGTAGTTCCTCGATACATTTAACCAAGTACTTTACAGCCTTTACTTTCAGCCGGTACATAAAACCTAGTCGTCTCTCTTCAACCTCAAATATCGAAGCCGATATATCCTCAATAGCATCAAATAACTCTAACACAAGGCAGGCCCTTGCAACAGTCTCCTTTTTTTGACTTTCTTTGAACCATGAAATCGGGCCTTTATCATTGGAATGCATCCTAGGTTTCTGTTCTGTATGTTCCAATCCAGCAACTTGAGTTTCCCCTGACAAAAGTATAGCACCTGTTGCAGCATAGTGAAGCAGCAGCTCACACCCTTCTTCCTCTATGGAACTGTAGTACCCAATAAAGATACCCAATGGAATTCTTCTAAATAACAAATTTTGCTGAGGGCTAAAAGCGTGTGGTGCTCTTGCTTCAGATCTACAAATACCATTGCCAGTTTTATTCCAATACCTTAGATAACCATCCTGGAATTCCTTGATCCAGAGTCGCACTGTCTGACCGTCATATTCATTAGAGGCCAGATAATCCTTCTTGATGTCCTTAAATTTGAGTTTCTTCTTGCAGCCAACTTTCTCATTGTTATGCATACCCAAGCAATATTTTTTCATAGCCCAAGACCCTGATATTTTGTCTAAAAAGTCAACTAAAAAATCACAATGGGATTCATCAGTGGGTCTTATGATCCATGCAAGATACCTTGCAGCAGCAGCACGATATGGCTCTACATCATGTGTTTGTTCATCTTCACCAGCTTGTGATGTGTAATTTGATAAGAAATTGACTTCACAATTTTCCCCAGAGAAGAGCAATGCAGCCGCAAAAAAGAACCAACATGGAAAATCTATCAACATAGCCCTGCCACGTAATAATTGAAGCAGACTTGGGTGGTTGGATCAGAATAAAATAATTATTATGAGCGTCTTGCTATGGGATGAAAAACTTACCAGATGAATTTCCAATCAATCATCCCTTTGATAGCTGCTCTTTGCCTGACAGTTGGGTTAGAATGTGCATTGACGTGAGGTAAAAGTTCTGTAACAAGATGAACCAAATGCAGGAAGCTTTTGCCCGAGATAGATCCAGCTAAAGCCACCAATAGGCGGTGATTGTTGGGGAAATAGGCACGAGAAAATGGAAGATTCGATCCAACTTCAGCAGGTATACCCCACCACATCGGCTGGGCAAGTGCATCTAGTATTGATGAAACTAATCCTACTTGAAGCTGTAGTATGGAAGTTGAACCCCTATTGAAAATAGAAAACCCTATTGGGTAATAAGTGACTCAACCAATGATTAAATATGCCCCTTGATCTGGTAAAATCAATTGAGACATGAAATGTTTTTCAGCAATGAAATTGAATGTCATTTAAGCATTTTTCTGGTGAAGAGATACAAATTGAGCATGAAGTAACCAGAGAATTTGGTCCAAGATTAAAATTCTGATATAAGTTAAGCTTTGGTTTGTTATTTCTACTTTTCCCTAATTATATGCATTCCTTTGTTTCCATAATTGTTCTTATATAATGGAAAATTTGTATAAATTAATAAAAATAAAAACAATTACCAAGTTTCATCTGCATTGTATTTGATTCAATACAATGGTTTTTTGGAGCACAAGAAGATTCACAATAGAAGGATCCAAAGTATACTCCAAAGATAATATTTTCTATGAACTTAACTGCAAACAAGTATGTAACCTACATTTATGTGTGCCACATCACGGAGAGTAACACGGGTAAGAAATCTGCATGTATTAGAAATGACACTTAGCTTCAAATACTATATATAAAGCATGATGTAAGCAAATTAGTAAGTCACTCATACCGATATCCATGTCCAGGATCTTAGGAAATGGAAGTGATATCCCTGTTTCACATATCTGTGTCTGTCTTGGAATCCATATCTGAGCATCATGGGACTATGTATTTTCCCAATTTAAACATAAAATAAATAAAGTACAAGACTTTTTTTGAAAAAGTAAGGTAATTTATTAAATGAAGAAAATTAAAAAGAAAAACATAATACGTATTGGGACAAAGGTTTGTTCACATAACCAATTCAGGCAACCCAGAAGATTCTGCATTTTGGATGGCTAACTGCAATTGGGTTCTCTGTGAAGTCATTTTATGACTCTCCCTAGCTCATCTTCAGATTCCTATCCTTGGAAATGGATTTGGGAAGGCCATATTACATCTAACATATCATTCTTCACATAGATGGCAACTTTGGAAAAGATCCTTGATTATCAATAACTCAATATTTAGAGGGAGGAAACCATAGTTGTCAAGGTGATGCCTAGGTGGGCACCTAGGCAACAAGGCGCCCTTTGAGTTGAGGCTTGCCTCGCCCAATCGCCAAGCAGTTTTGTACTATGTATTGTAAAATACGTTTTTATTCCTTATTTTTTGACATTAGAATTATAAAATAGGCACTATTAAACTAAAATATTCATTTTGTGTGTTTATATGCTAATTTGTTTTTATTATTTTCTTATTTGTTAGGATTTAATCAATACAAACATTGCTAAATGTTGTATTGAACCCTCAAAGACTTACTTTTTCATTTTCTTTTCTTCTTTTCCTATAACAAAAATAAGGGTTCATCTCCTATACTTTTTGAATTTTCTTTTCATTCTTTTTTTTCTTCTCATGAATATGTTGATTTTCTATACTTTAACATGAACTCTATACTTTTCTTATGAAAATTATGAATAATTATTAAGGAAATATGGCTATGGTACCTAGGGAACTACCCTAGGATCTATGTTTTCTATATAAAAAAATACATCACCTAGGCGACACCTAGACAACAAGGTGCCCCCCTGACGCCTAGCCTCGCCTTGGCGTTTTAAACTATGGAGGGAACTCCATGATAAATACTTGCAGCCTGTGAAGGAAAGGAAAGATCCACAACTCTTTAGAGATGAAGAAGGTCATGCAATCCAATTACTTTATTCTCGGGACCAATTGAAGTGGGGATTCTTCAAGAGCAGAGCTTATTATTCGTGGTGTGCAACAAGAAAGGGACATGAATCTAACTTAATCGTTTTTGGAGATTCTAAGGTGGTTATTGGTTGGTAGAGAAAAAGTTGCATTGGCCTACAGAGATGAAATTAGAAAGTTTAGATGGCTCACACAGAATATGAAAGTAAAAATCCTCTGGGTACCTATATCGGCAAATTGCATGGCTGATGTATTAGCTAGGCAACTAGGAATTAGATTCTCTGGGCTCAGTAGTAAACTGAATTAGTTTGGGGAGAGATAGAACCATGCTCTGCTAATGAAGGAATTTTATGGAAAACGAAGGAGGAGAAGTTTGTGGTTCCAGAACTTGTCCATCTGATGTGGCTCCCTCTGATGGAAGGTTTTATCAAACTCGACTTTGATGGGAGCAGTGAAGGAAATCCAGGGCCATCAGGGGTTGGTGGTGTGTTCAGAACAGAGGCAGGTTCAGTTATAGCACTTTTTTCAGGACCAATTGGGGTTGGAGATTCTTTGAGAGAAGAAATTCTGGTCCTCTTGGAGGGGGTAAAAAGGGCTAAGGAGTTGAATATAAATAGGTTGATTATCCAAGGAGATTTGCAAGTGGTAATTGGCTGGATAGAGAAGGCAAACGACGGATTATGGGCATACATTAATGAAAGAAGGCATTTCAAGTGGCTAACCCAAGGATTGGATGTGCATGTCTGGTGGGTTAAAAGATGTGCTAATTAATTTGCAGATGCTTTGGCCAAACAGGGGGTGGGAAGAAGTCAATTGTTTTGGGCTACTATGTAATTTTCCTGTTCAGGGGGAGGGGGGTGGTAAGAGGGTTTACCTCCCCCCACCTTTGTATTTTAAACTTTTTTTTAAATTAATGAAAGTTTTCTGCTACTGATAAAAAAAAAAAAAGTTTACAGGATTGTGCAGGTGGGGGCTGTAACAGATTCATTACAAGTAGGCAACACAGATGCATTGGTGTCTGAGACTTTCATCTCTATGGAGATGCACAGAAGGGTATTGTGGAGAAAGATGGAAAGGTAATGGTTTCTGGAGGTCAGACGAAGGAAGTTCTGGTGTTAGAAGAAGTGGGAGGCAAAGACAAGGAGCAAAAAAGGAGGTGGGGTGGTCAATTTGGAGGATGGTTTGGAGCTTGGGTATAATGGATGCAAGGAAAAGGAGGTTAAAATTGTATAGCAAAAAAAGAAATACAGAACAAAAGTATTAACAGAGGGTGAAGAAAAAGAAACTAAAGGTGGAAGCATTGAGACTGAAGATAGTGATGATAATTTGAATGTGTCTTTTGGAAGATGTTATCATTGATGAAACTTATGAAGTTTAGGGCTCAGTGGATTTGGAAACAGTGGTAAATACTAAATACTGAGGTGGAGGTTAGTAAATCTTTGGGCTTGTTCCTTATAGGAGAGGAAGTCGCAAGGACATCATTTAAGGTAATGGAAGAAAATTTTGGTAGGAATTTGATGCCGTTGAAGGGTAAAGAAAAAAAAAACAGGTCGACTCATGAAGCAGTTGGCAGTAATGAAAGGAATAATGAGATCCAAGACAGAATGAGAGCAGTTGGAGTTGAAGGGGATGGGCCTGAAGGGAATAGTGAGTTGGAAGCAGATCATATCTTTGAAAAGAATGCAGTGCTGGAACTAAAAAGGATTAATGTTAAATCCTTTGACCCAAAGGATTTGAGAAGATTCCCAATGCAGTCAGAAGGTTCAGATCTCAAAGAAACCAATGCACTGTCCAAGTGTCGAAGGGTTTTGCCAGATTGAAGATGGGATTATTTGGGATCGAGTCCATTAAGAAAGTGAAGAAAACAAAGAAACTCAACAAGAGAGTAGAAAGGATTGCATTCAAGATTCAGAAATAGCTAATTGATTGAGCATTGATTTTGGGAGATCTTGATGAGCTTTTGGTGCTTATTTAGGGTAGAAAGGGTTTGATGGAGGGTTGATCTTAGGCATGTAAATTTTTCATTAGGATTTATCTGTATTTGGTGTTGGATTGTTTTCACTTTTTCTTGTTTGGGCTTTGGATTGTGTAGAAGGGGGAGGGGATGGTGGGATTTTTTTTCTTTTTGCTTGTCTGTGGGTGATATCTTGTCACCTCTCCTGTACTCATCGTTTTTTTCTCTTAATTAATTTTCTTTTTTATTTATTACCAAAAAGAGATGTATGATATCTTTGTACATTTGCTTACATATTAATAAAATGATGGTTAATTATACACAAAAACAATAGAACAACCTCCCCAATATAGAGGATTAATACAACTCGTGGGAAGATATCTGCAAATCCAATTCCAAATAATATGAACTTTCATCAGATTTCAAATAAGCGTCTGCTGTTTAACACCTAAGAAGTCTGGACTGACTTCTTATGCCCAGACTTCTTATGGTTACACAAGGAAAGATAGGTCGCACTTAAAGACCACCCCATGCACATATTTAGCCAGCTTGAGGTTTCCGCCCTTGCTGCACATTCTATGGAATGGAATCTGCTCGGCCTTCACCCAATGCTGGCTTTGTGCAAAGAATTAAATGGCTGTATTTTTGAAAACAAGAAGCAAGCCACTAAGACCACTATTGGCAGGATTAAGAGGCCCTTGGTGCAATGATCCGCATTCTTGAAAGATTTTGAAGGGTTGAAATATAACCATTTTTGAGGAAGAAGTAAGGTATCGTATTATATTATAACTGTAACAAACAAAACATATAACTGCCCTCGGTATGCTCCATGTACAGCCAGCAACTATACAGAAAAGCCACCCAAAAAATCTAGTCTCTCAAGAATAAACACAAGAGACAAACAACAAAATTAGGTAAACAAAAAGCCATGATCAAAATACTGATGATGAGGGATAAACTTAAAAGAATCTTTGGCCAACAACCAAGAATGCAGGGTAGCCATAGCCCGAACCACAACATCATCTAAGGAGCAGAACTTTTCCTTCAAAAATCCTACTATTTCTTTCTTTCCACAGAACCCAAGAGACCATGTGAGGAATAGCATTCCAAAGCACCTTACACCTACCGCTTAAGCCGGGTTGAAATATAATCATTTCAAGCATAATTTGTGAAGATATTATTCTTAATTCTTTTTTGTGTGACAAGTATAGAAATTAACAAAATACAGAAATTATACTTGAATTTGACTGTGCATGGTTTCTTCTCACTAACCATGTAAAGAGTATTTCTCTTTTGAGTCTTCCCCTCTTTTATCTTTCACATTAATGTAATACCTTACTATTTATCAAAATGAAAAGCTAGAACGAAAATGGTCTGCTCAGCCCTCAGCTACAACTATCTCAGGCTAGACATATGAAAATTTCCATAAAAAATAATGTACACTAGCTGTCCATATTAGTGAAGGAGATCCTAGTCTGGGACCAAGTTCCCTTTTTTCAAGCCTATTATGAATGTTCTAGCCTAGAAGGCTCCCTCTTCCAATATGAGGGAAATTCAAGCATGAATCCTCCAAGAAGATGAAAGAAATAATGCTGACTATCAAGTGCCGATATCCTGCTCTGACTTGTCATGTAAACTTAGTCATTCTGGGGCTGGTGTCTGGTTTATTATGTTTTTTGTACTTGTTTCTCTGTAATGCCCATCATACACCCCCACCTCTTTTCATCACTCAATAGAAAATTGGAAGAAGAGCTCTTAGTTATAAAGTGGGATCCAAACATCTGGTTGATTGAATTTTTACATGACATATAAATTAACTTACAAATATTAAATAGTACAGTTCAAGAAGTTTGATCTGTAACAATTTGTAAATCACAGTAATGGCCCATTACCCAATTTTGATCCCAGCTATCTGGAGTCTTGGGAGGGATCATTTGAAAGGCCAACCCTAAGAAAGTAACAAGTGAACAGTCAAACATGCTCTGACAACATGTGGTGAGCATCTAGGATTTAAACCAAATCAGATTAGGCAGTATAAGATTTGTGCAACTAAGAAGAAAAATTAAAATGAAGGAAATGACAATTTAGCTAACATCCCCGTCCTCTTGCAATTAACTGAATGTTCTTTCTGTTCTAATTTAATAAAATTTCCTTTGCTGATCAAAAAAATAAAATCTTTCTTGAGCAATCAAAAAAATTAACTGAATGCTCTTACTGCCTAGTCTATGCATCTATTTACACATGATTTAATATACTGCTAAAATACCATATATTTCCAGATTTGGTTTGGCTTGGTCTGCTCGAGACCTCAACCCAAGCCCAACACTAAGGATGATTTGGAATAGTAAGGTTCAAATTGAGTCCAGCCCAAATTGCATTCAGAATGGCAGACTTCAAAACATTTATTAGATGCCTCTTGTTGCATAATAGGCACAAGGTTATATTGCAGATCTCAAGTGGATAAAAATGCCAGAGAAGTAGGACACATGCAGAATCTTATGAAACAAACAACTGTAGCTAGATGGACTTTCTTTGGGTTGTTGTTCCGGAACATGCAACGACGAGCATTAGATAAACATCAAATTTTCTATTGGTTTTGGGTAGACAGTTAAGGTCAGCCAAGCAGACAGCACTGAAAAACTTCCACTTCCACCCTTTCAAGATTAATATAAAACAAACAGCTTATAAGCCATTGAATGGTGAAAGAAGTAGGGAACTTACGTCAACAGAAACCACTTATGCAAGAGACCCCTTGTCTCAATAAACATTGTTGGAGAAAGGACCAAGCATATAATTAGAGAACGCCAATTTATCCTCTCATGCAATTCTTTTTTCAAACAAATGAAAGGTCTTTGTGTAGTTTCTTGCAAAATTCTTGAAATATCATGCTTTAAAGTTAACGGATCAAGATACCACAAATGCAACCTGTGAAGAGATCAATTCCAGAAATAACCAAGTAACAATTAGAAAAGAACATATATCATATTAAATAAAATGGCAACAATCATTTGCAGGTCCCTCCCAATCCTGCTGATACAGCACTTGTTCAAGGTGTATGCATGTCATTCTTCAGTTTCATCAATTTCAAAACAAACTCCATGGAGCCAGGATGAAACTATAGTAATATTACAGGAATCATAGATAACTAACATATCATACAACCAGAGTCATTCAAGGAGAATGTAGATCATAGTCATAGTAGAACATCACAACACAGCTCCTCTATAAAATTCTCTATCTTGAGGGTCACTAAACATCTTCTTGTTACTCAATTGTTGGTCTCCAACCCATGTAGCAACACTGGCAGTGGGGTGGTTTTCCTTTAATAATAGCCTCACAACAGCTTTCCTTGTAATGGCATTAATTTCATTCCCACCATCAATGATCAACCGCCCTAGGAACCAGCACCTTTCCAGTTGCCACAGCATGCCCTAGCATGTACGACACTGGCTGATCTCTAATCCTCTCCAGCAAGGACAGAAACCAAAAATTTTAAGGAATGATTACATCACTAGCATTAATGAGCGTATTATCATCATCAAAGCCTTATCCCATCTTTATGGAATCAGTTAAATCCTGTTTTGCCATTCAGTTCTGTTCAGTGCCATGCCCATTGTTAAATTAAGGGCGCTTAAATCATTTCTTATTACTTCCACCCAAGTCCTTTTCAGTCTGCCCCTATCTCTTCTATCCCCTTCAACTTGTAATAGATCACTTTTTCTAACGGGTGCTATAGATGGCTTTCTATGGATGTGACCAAACCATCTCAATCTACTTTCTCTCATTTTATCACCTATTGGAGCTACTCCTAGGCTCCTTTGTATGACTTCATTCTAACCTTGTCCTTCCTAGTTTTACCACTCACCAATCTAATCTTTCGCATTTTTGCCACACTTAATGGACATATAGAAGTCATTAAAAGGGAAAAAAATATCAGGGTGATATTCTGAAATATAGAAATAGAAAAAAGACAGTACTTCATCACTATCAAAAGAAAAGGAAAGAAAAAGACAGCAGTCCATGATTGTTACCTATTCACAATAAATGGTATACAAGTCATATTGACATACCTCAATGCCATTCCCTGGTTGTTGAATGTGATCTCCTCTTGTAAAAGCCGATGTAGCTTTGAAATGGGTAAGTTTCTTTTAAAACTTGATTTTACATTAAGAATCCAATTTAAGGGGAAAAGAGTTTGATAACAAGATGATGATGATGCCACTCTTAAAATAGCACTAAACAGCAAATGGAAAAGTGATGCTGCATTTGTTAAAAGATATAGTCAACACACTGAATCACTGCAAAAGACCATTAAGCATTCAAGCATCAAAGCTAAATTCACCAACAAATTAATAATTAAATAAAAATAAAAGACAAAGTAAAAAAGAAAAGGTTAATCTGCTATACAAAGCTGGTCAATATTCTCTATACAAGAATAGAAAGGGCAATAAAGTACTAACATTTTCTAGAATGCAAAATTTGAGTAAGGAGAAAATCAGAAAAGGAAAGAATATTAAGGAACAATGAAGAATGATGCTCTTCTAGCTAAAACTTCCTATATGATATTTTTATCTATAGATAATTGAAATTTATTAATGAAGAGAATTATAATATTAAAAACGATGTCAAGCATCCCAAAGATTAGGTAGCCAAGGAGGCCACCTCATAAAATATTACTGTACAGTATCTGCTACAACCTGATTTTCCACCTGGCTCCAAATAATTGATCTTAATTTACACCTTGTTTTGTCAATTCATCAGCCATCCCATTAACTGCTCTTTGAACACATTTTACATTGATAACTCTCTCCTTTTTAAGCTCTTTAATCTCCTTCATGGTGTCCCTGTATTGCCAAGGAATCAACTCCTCCTTATGCCACCTTTTCACCACTTTTGAGGTCCCCTTCCAATCCAATATTTCTATAGTTGAGAGTTTTCAGTAAAAAAGTGTCGGTTCCTCTTTCTTTATGTTACTAGCAAAGAAAGACAATGCATCTGATGTAGGGATGCTTGGCGGGCCTCAAATCGTGCCATGTGGCATCGGCTAGATCAAATCCTGGCCGCACATCACCAACTGCTTCCAACCACTCCTAAGGCAAGGTTAGCTAATAAAAGGGGGCACTCACCTCAAGATAAGAAAATAAAAGGGAACCATTCTTGGCTATTAAGGACTAAGCTCTAAGCTCTCGTCTCTTGCCTAGTCCGACCCTTCTTCAAGCACTCAGCTAACTTGAGCGTTGGAGTCTCCACACCTGGGATAACACCCAGGGCCTCTGACGTATGCTCTTCTCCTATTTACAGATTGGACCTATCAGCCTCAAACACTAGCAAAATCACCTTGTTGCCCTCGGCCTCATATTTAGCAGCAACAGCAACTTTGATGACAGACAAACATTGACGTGGAACTGTTGACCCCCATTCAGCATGAAATGAATCCACGTGAACAACCAAAGAAACACAATACTGCACACTTAATGACCTTCAATGCCAATGCATACCCATTTAAAGAAGTAAAGTTTGCCCATTGCGGCCCTTATCAGGGTCCTACATGTGAAATTGTTGCTTTTTGATAACTGTTTAGTCACTGCTGTTCCAAATATGTTGGATAAATGGATATAGAATTCAAATATAACTTGGACCATACAATATCAAAAATCTACTAGGAAGCAAGGTGGATAAAAAGGAACTTAGTTATTCACACAAATCCAATCATGGTTAAAAAAGAAAAAAGAAAAATATGTCAGAAGACAAATATGTTATAAAGAACACGCAAAAAAACATCGTGACCAATAAGGTCAAACCATGTACTAGATAATGCACTGAAAGAAAGACCTTGTGGTAATTATGTAGTTCTAGATAATGCACCAATGCAAATGCCATTGTCGTATAGCTTATGCTTCAAATGCACAAGTTTGACTTTCATTCTAGAATTCCAAAGGTATATACAGATCAAAATATCATATCACCCCTAATAGAAATTGCAAGGACAGAGACCCTGCTAAACCTACCATGTCCTTCCAATCTATCAAGCACATCCACGCACACACGAACCAATTCAGAACATTCGCAGCTGGAAATCGAGCTTCCCACCTGCAGAAACTCCTCTTTCTGAAAACGCAACACCTTGCAAGATATCGTTGAAGATAGGACAGTAACAACCGTGTTCACCATGTATTCAATTTCTGAACCGAATACCTGTAGAATAAGTATATATGTTTAGAGAGAGAGAAAGAGAAAGGGGGACTTGCTGACGATGATGAACCAGTTTGTATTGGGAAAAAAAATGCAACAACAAGGACTGACCTTGGGTGCCTTGAAGCACATCAAAGAGAGGGCAGTATCCAAAACCCTAACCCTAGACACTTCATTTAAGTTGAGAGATTGATTCAACGACGAAATGGCGGGATCACAAACTTCTTCGTCACCGGGTGAAGGAAGTTCGCTTTGTAGGTGTAAAGCGAGCTTCGTCAAAATATCGGTTATTTCGGGTAATCTGTTCATCGCAAAATGAACCGGAGAAGAACGAAACCAACGAGGCTCGGATAGAGGTCACACTCACGCGATCATTCGATCAGCCGAGTTGATTACCCGCCAAAACCAATATTCGAAGCCGTGTAAAGCGAACTTCCTTCACCCGTGTAAAACTGTTGAGAGAGAGAGAGAGATTGTGCGCATCAAATCCGATTACTGAGAAAGAATAAGGGTCCGTTTGGTTCAAGGAAATAAGGGTCTGTAATCCGATTTGGAATGGAGTCCATTCTGAATTCCGATTCCAATTTCTGGTGGGATGATATTCCCTGTTATGATCATTTCCTCCCCTCCTTTTGAGAATGAAAATCGATTCCAACCAATTTGGATTCAAGTCTTAACCAATCAGATGAAGAAATAGATCATTTCGATTTGATTGTGATAGATGTGAAGTCAATGATTGTGAATCAAATGGATGTTTAGTGTTAGGGTCACAAGCCGGGAAATAAATGAACCTCTAAGGAGCCCACTGGCCACACCCACAGATTATATCGGTTTTGGTTTTGTGATTTTGTCCCCATTAATAATTGGATCGTGACTTTTTTTTTTTCTCCGAATTGATTCAAAACCAAACCAATTATACATCTAATAATATGTAAAGGTTTCTTGGTTTTCTTATAATTTTATATATTTTTATGTTCAAAAGAGTAAATTTCATAAATTATATATAAGAAAATATTGGTTAAAATTATTTGTTTTAGCAGCACAATTATTTTTATTATGTTATATCATGAAAAATAAAAATTCTTTTGGTATTATCATCGGCTATTATAGATCTCAACTATGATTAGATTGGGTCTAGACGGATCAGACCCAATTCTCCTTATTAATAAATGGAATGGGTAATGGTTTTGCAATATGGAATTAATACAGCTTGTCCCAAAAGCATACCCGACTCATTTACAACTAGGGTTGGAAAATAAATCGAACATTTCATGATTTATTTGAGCTCAGCTCACGAAAAGATCAATTTGATTTAAACTAAGTTTGAATTGAGCTCGGGCCTGATATATAGACTTGTTTGTTAATCGAGTCGAGCTTAAGTCTAATGAAGCTAGGCTCGTGAGGCTCACAAGCCTAATATTTATATATATGTAAATGTATATGTGATAATAATTTTGTTTATAATTCTTAATTTTTGCATGTAAAATAAAAAAATAATTTTATATGTATAGTTTTTATTTTTTATAGGAAGCTTGGCTCGTAACTGAGTTCGAACTTGAGAGCTTTGAGCCAAGCCTTATTCGAACTCAAGTCTCTAGCTCAAAATTGAGCTTGAGCTTGAGCTCGAGCCTAACATTGTTTTGGTGAGCCAAACTCAAATAGCCAAGTATTTAGCTCGGCTCGAATCCACCCCTGCTTGATTTTGAAAACGTTGCATCACATTTGACTCTGATCCATCCTTTTGGAGGAAGGGAATAAATGGCAGAAAATAATAGATGTCGGCATGTTACTTCTAAGGCTGAATATGTATTTTCACTTGTAGATGTAGCACCCACCGGCTCTTACATCCACCTTGAATAGATTTAAGCTACATGCATGGAGGAGTCATCTTTATTTTGAAAGACTAGATTGTTCCTCGCCTTTCCAATTTTCTCAGCATGTTATTGCTAGGTTTCTAATCCAAACCTTTCTGATGGAGGAAGATTTGGCCCGATCTCTTGGCCACCCAACACATGGAAGCAACCAAAGGTGACCTGGCAAGAGCAACAGCTCGGCATGGCAGTACGCTCAAGGCGCGAGCCCCGAAAGGAGGAACCAGCGGTCCGAGCTCCCTAAAAGGAGTCCAAACTCTCCCTTTGACCCCGAGCCTAACGAGGAGCGCAAAGGGCAACAACCCAAACTAGCCCACCCCAGGGCAGTTCGGGCCACACTTCTATCTGAACTCAAGAGCACCTCGCACACTACTCCGGCACTTCGTCTCCAGGCCGCCGAACTAAACAACCGTACCTAACACCAAAGGAGTCCGTATCCTGAGGCGACGCACCTGACTGACTTAGGATCTGACGCTTGGCAACCGCACTTCAACGGCCACCTGCCACCGCCACCTCGAGTTACAGAGACGGATCCGACAAAGAGAGCAGTGGCAGTTGTCTGCCCCAACAGAGGTGATGACACCCGAACTGGCAGAAGTGCAGAGGTAATGATACCCGACCTGATAGGAGCTTGGGAGTGAGTGCGCGAAGTGGTTATAAAAGGCCCCCTTCCCCCAAAGAAAAGAGGTACGTGATAACTTTGCGCCATCTGGTTTTTTATCTTGCCTTTGAGAAAATACTAACTTGAGCTTCGGAGCATTCTCACCGGGTTCCTCCCCGAAGACTATTCGCTTTCCTCCCCGTTTCAGGCACTTTTTGATCCAGTCAGAGGCAAGATCGTTGACAGCTAGGACCGACCGAATTGCGCTCCATCACTTTCCAAGGGGATTGTAAGGCATTCTGTTATTCATTCTTTTATATACTGGTGTTAAATACCATCTGGTGCTAAAGAGAGTGGAGATTTAAACCTAGCAATTAGGTTGGGTGGATCGGGTTCGGGTTGGATCAAGACACTTTTAGGGCAGGTTGAATTTTAGGTTGGGTTGTCAAATGCTAGACCCTAACCCTAAATGTTTTTTTCCAAGGGGATTGAAAGGCATTTTGCTAATCATTCTTTCATATACTAGTGTTAAATAGCCTTTGGTGCTAAAGAGAGAGGAGATTTATACCTAGCAATTGGATTGGGTGGGTCAAGTTCGAGTTGGGTCAAGACACTTTTAGGGCAAGCTGAATTTCAGGTTGGGTTGTCAAATGCTGGATCCTTACCCTAAATGTCCGGATTAGGGTTGATCCATGGGTCAATTTGGATCATCCAAAAAAACTAAAATTTAAAAAATAAAGAAAAAATACATGAAAAATGACAAGATTAAAGGAATTAACCTTGAAATTCCAAATATAAAATAAAAGGCTTAAATATTTAACATTTCAAAAAGTAAATAATAAAGAGTAAAGACTAAATGATAAAAATTAAACAGTGAAAAACTTCTAACAATGCATAAATAATCCCAATTAGACTAACAATCGGGTCAATAGGTTGACCCATGACCCAATCCAATTCAATCCTTTTTTTAAGTAGTTAAATAAGAGGTCCTAACCCTATTTTTTTCCCTGTGTCGGGTTGGCCCATTCTTAAATTCATGTAGCTGAATATTAGACCCTAACATTGTTTTTTCAAGCCAAGTTGAGTTCATGGGTTGAGTCAACTTTTTGCTAGTCTATTGGAGAAGCCAACCATACAGCTCTTGCGAAAGGGCAATGCATGAGTACGTGGCATATGCTGCAGAGTATATTATTTCCCATTTTTAAAACCTGTCGTTTGATGGGTTGTTGAAAATCTGCTATTTTGTCACTTTAGTTAAATTAATCCTTTGACACTTATTTTTAAAAAGACTATTTTACTTATTATTCTTCTTTAAATTTTTAAAATAAAAAGTTTTGACACTTCCTCAAGAAAAAAAGAGAGTAATGATTGTCGAACCAAGAAGGAAAAAATTGTTACTTCATACAAATCTAAATTTGGATGGCCGGTTGTTTCTTCAGTGAAAGAGAGCATCATGGACACGCATCCCGCTGAAATCCGAAACCGTTTCTCTTTTGGTGAAATGATGGCGCTTCTTGCAGGAGGAGCAGAGTGGGTAGAGCAAAGGGTGACCCTGAGACCATGGAAGGAGCCGGGGATGGCGCCATCTCGCTATCACCCTGGAAGGGCATAGTAGCGGTTGTCACTGAGATTGTTGAGGCCATCGAGGAGACCATCGCGACTGCCGCTGAGATTTATTCTTTTATCGTTTTGACCTCCCCCAACCATTCACTAAACTCCCTACCCTCTGTTACTGTCATCGGTTGATCTGAATCAGCAAGAGCATCCACATTACGAGATCGAGTTCCTCTTGGATTTCGAACAACGGATATTGCTCTCCACACCAACCTATTAGTGCTATCTCCAAACCGTCATCGTCCAAAGATAAAGTTCGCGTCCAGACAAGCGTGCTTTCCTCCCCAAACTCCCATTGTAATTCGTTGGTCGTCCTTGCCGTTAGAAGGAGGTTAGGAGCTGCACACTCCCGGTTCCCTGGTTCAGTCGATTTAACATTCAAATCTTCTCCAGTAGCAGGTTGACCTCCCTGGTTCAATCAATTCCCGATTCCTGAACATAAACGGACAGTATGGTGCTCAGGGTAGAGCTAATAATCCTCCTTAATAGCGGTTGCCACTGACTGTATCGCCACCATGAAGACGAGCATGGTTGCCTTGGAGAGGTTCACTTGCACCATCGTCAAAGGAAGGAGTACTGAATTGTGTGATAAGAGTACTAATATAAAGAGAGGAGAAGTCTCAAATAAGAATCTTTGCTCTTTGAAGAAGTGTAGACTGCGGGAGGTTTGCGCGACTATTTATAGCAATGGCGGTGAAGAGAGGTGTTAGGCATGGACTATGTACAGGTCGCCCTCGCCCTTCATCAGTGTACGCGGATTCCACCTTCTCTTTCTCCCTCTCTCCATCCCCTTGATTATCGTTCCTTTCTTGTTCTAGCAGTCACAATCTTCATCGGGTGGCCAAAGAACCATAAGAACAAACAGTATTGAAGGGAAAGGAGAACGGGGGGAGAGAGAGAAAGGGGACGGAGGTGGAAAAGTCGGTTGCTGCAGCGTCGGTGATGAAACAAGGGAGATAATGACGGAGGAGAGAGATAAAATTGGGTTTAAAAAAAGGGTAATTGTCCAAAACCCACTATTATTATGTTTGACCCATTTTACAATATCCCAGATTTGCTCCCATCATTCTTCTCCCTCTCTCCCCCATCACCCTCACCCATTGTTGTCTTGAACCGGTTCGCTTTCCTTCATGCGATGATTCTGAAGCTCACCCAGGCGCTCACCGGAAGATAGGAAAGTCTTGGCTTATCTTACCTCTTGTTCCGATAGTGGGGAAGCTTTTCCGGTGGTCGAACCAAAAACAATTATTAGATTTTAATTTCATAAGAGATTAAATTTAATGGGTTTGATTGGTCAATTACATTAGAAATTGTACTTGCACACTTGATTGAAAAATTGGTTTTTCTTTTACACAAACTAGTTTTGAACATTGGAAAATTATAAGCTTTGTTTTTAGTATTTTAATAGGAGATGATTTACGCTCCTTAGAAATAGTAGAGGAGAGTATGGGGGTTTGATACTGCGCACGCATGTGTGCGGCGCAATGAGGTGCATTTTGCTCGCACTTTGCGTGGCTCACGATGGTGGCTTTGGTTTTGGTGTGATGCTGACCATTGATCACCGTTGATGAAATCAACGGTCACGATCTGATCGGGTGTGATCAAGAGGCATAATTCAAAGTTAACAGTCATTAACTGTTAACCACTTTTTAAATAGTCACAATGTTTGAAATTGTGACTGTTCAAGGTGCCTTCTCTGAACCAGCACCTACCTTTTCTTCACACCTCTTCATAAACTATTTAATGAGCATGAATGAGACTTCAAAAAACATACATTTTCGAAATCCACTTTCTCTCTCTTTCTCAGTCCGGTCTGCTACAGTCTCACAGAAGGTTTCTTCGGAGATTCTTCAACTTTACTTGTTGCAAATTGTAGCCCAAGGCTCTATTGTATCTTGGGAACGGATTTGCCTGTAACCCAACAACAAACTCGGTAAAACTGAGTGGGGGCAAATAACATTCTAAAGACTGCATCTTCAAATGCACCTCAAAGCTTCTCCTCCAAAGTTGCATTGACCCCATTTTCCAACAACAACCACAAGAGTCTTTCCGAAGACCACCCTACTTCATTTCACTGCGACTGCTTCAGGTGCTATACAAGCTACTAGGTTTGCTGGGACTCTTCACCTAATCGTCAATTGATTCACGAGATAATTGATGCTTTTGAAGATGATTTGATGCAAAAGACGAACACGAAGAACAAAAAAGAAGAGTGTTCAATGAGGGGTCGAATGATGGGAAGTGCCCTGAAGAGATTTCGGGAAGAGAGGAGTTGGATAATCTAGAAAAGTTGGAGGTTTGTAGTGGTGAGACAGGCGAAAGTGAAGAAGCGGAGAGGTTCGGTAAGGAGATTTGTGAGTTTTATTGGGGAGAGGATATGGGGGGCTTGGGGTTAATAAAATGGCGAAAACCATAAAAGATTGGTTCAGATGTTGAGTTCTATTATGCATTTTGGAATTTTGTTTTTGTGTAAATTTCCCTTTTTCGGAATGTAGAGAAGAAATGAGCTTTCTTTTCATCATGCTGGTCCTCCATTTCCTTTTTCTCCTACCCAAAACCTTAATAGTGAGAAAGCATTGGCCGCTACTTCATCCACCATTATCTGTTGCTTTTCCCATCATCTAAGAACGTAAAGACTTGAGATTGACTTCCGCAGAGAAGGAACAAAATCAGAAGAATCAAGAGGAAAGCCACCACCGACCCGATTGCGATTCTTGCAATAGCTCCTCCAAACAACTTCTCACCACTGTTACTGTTGTTGGAGTTGCTACCTCCGCTTGTCGACGACACTGCTTCGTTAGGACAAGGAGAAAACGGCAAGCCGCAGAGCGAAGTGCTAAGGAATGAGAACACCTCTGATTTTCCAAGAGCAGGGTCACGAGAAATGTATAAAACCCAACTGTAACAAGATCTGATTTTCCGAGAGCAGGGTATAAACCCGGTTGTATAAACCTAGCGGTTTTAGTTGTATAAAACCCAATTGTATAAACTAGTAACAAGATCTGATTTTCTAAGAGCAGGGTCACGAGATATGTATAAAACCCAGCTGTATCATCTACTTCGCTGTAATTATTTCCTCGTCTCTCTCTCTCTCCATCATGTTCTTTCCTCTATTGTTGTAACTTCATCACGTTACTTTGAATTGCAGAGGGTTGTTGGATTGATTGCAAGTTCAAGAACAACTCTCTCTCTCTCTAAAACCCATCATCACTTTTTATGAAACTCACCATATCTTTTCAAAACATCAAAAACTCACCATTCAGGGGCAGTTTAGTCAAGAAACTTGCATTTAGGTTGACGTGGACAACTTGGGTCAATGAACTTTAACCGTGTTCGTGGATGGTGAGTTTTAGAAAATAAAATCTTGTTGACATAGTGAGTTTTGGACGTTTTGAAAAGTTATGATGAATTTAAGAGATTTCATAAAAAGTGAATGTGGGTTTTGGACAAATTCTCTTAAAAAATACATATACATCACGTGGTGTTATGTGTGTACGAATTTGGCGGAATATTAACAGACAGTAAGGGTAGAGATAGTCAATTGTCAGAAAATAGTAAGAATACTTTAAGACAACACTTAAGCAGTAGAGGTATAGTTAATCAATTTCCTAAACCTTAGGGGTAGTTTAAGAAATTTGTCCCCCCAAAAAATTGTTCCATCTTATAAGTATGCATTACTTCTTTCTCACGGTGGATGATTCAGCCATGCCTCTTATTTAATTGAAAAATTTTGAATGTTAAATGAGGTGGCATCCACCTTTACAAAAGGAGAAGTAGGGCTGCAAATGGATAAGATTAGATTCGGTGAAGGCATATCTAATAAGGATCCATCGAATTTTCAAAAGCATGATTTGAATTCGAATTCGAATGTATTAACGAGTGTAACAAAAGGGTCACATTTGAAAGCTTGAATACTAACTTGACACTACCCCCAAAGTTTAAGGACCAATTTGACACTTTCTAAAAATTTGAATACTACAATGATGTATTTGAAAATTTGAATACTAACTTAACACTATTTCTAAAGTTCAAGGTACTAAAATCTAAATTTCCCTATAGATGTGGCTTGAATCCTTCCCTTGAATCGGGATTTGCTCTATGTTTGCTCATCATAAAGCTCAATCCCATCCCATCGTGTATTGGAAGCATATCTTATGAATTATAACATAAAGTATAAATAGATATTCCCGGTGTACGATTGAGATGCATTGTGATGTTGGTATGACGCTCAATCTGTGAGGAGATTCGTCTCTGACGGCCTAAGGGAGGCGTTTAGCACGTCTTTTAGTGTGTCAGATACGCACATTTGTATTTGCACCACCAAATCCAAATTCGTCTTTTAGTGTATTATTTACTTTTGCTGGTTCTATGTTTATCTTCTTGGATATTGTTTCTTATGAATCATCTTTTCATCTCAATATATATAAAAAAAAGGAATTGATGAGTTGGTTCAGTGCAACTGTGCAAGTGATAACAGTGGTTGATTGGATTTGTATGTAAACACATAAAAATACCTGAGTCTAAAGATAGCATATCTCTTGGGCCTAGAAAAGGATATTATTAAATGACTGTGATAGATACTTGACCACTTGGGCTTTTCTGAAAATTTATTGTCTATGGGCCCAAACGAATATTTTTTCGGAGAAAGTGGGCCCAAAAGAATTGAATGATGCAAAGTTGCAAACTACACGCTTCTTTTATTTTATATAACAATTAATTTGTAGATTTAGATGGTTTTAAATATATAACAATTGGATATGAAAATTATTATCCTAAACATCAATCTTAATTGGTGGACCCCGATCCTCGAAGTGGAATCAACAAAGGCACTTATTCCAATCCAAAGGTTGGAGAGGTATTGTTCTGGTGAGCAAGCAATTCGACCACCCTACCTATTCTATTTTACACTACACTTCTTTTTCCTCTATTTATCTACAAAGATTCCTCTTTTCCCTGCCTCATCAATGGTCTACATTATACGATGGAGTTTAAGGATCAGTAAGGGTCAAAAGTCCATGACTTAATGAACGATGGGTCCATTAGCCCATATAATGAGCCCACGTTGAAGTTGGATTTGGTTCAAACTTCAAAGCCTAAAGAATTTGTTCTCCACTGTGTTCTTTGCACGTATTCAAACTCAAAAGTGGTGCTGTACAAAGTTAGTATGTGTTCTCCACGGGAACACTACGCATGTAGACCAGGCAAGCAGAATCCTTCCATTTTCAGGGTTTTGCTTTTGCTAGCTTCACCGTTGTAGTTCAGAGTTACAAAAATGAACCGTGGTCCCGTGGAGACGGAAGAGTGGCTTTTGAGAGGAAGAAATTAAAAAAATATATAAAATTCAACCGGTTCCTTTGGTCTCCGGTTTATTAACTACTACGTGTAACGCTTCTATCGGCTAGTACAATTAAAAAATGCACCGTATCTGTGATATTAGCATTCCTGTTCCATCTCGGGGAGCTTTAACTCGTACAGCGTAAGGATTCAGGGGTGGAAGGAAAAGAAAATACTTGCTTCATCCGATTATTATATATGTACATCAATTCTTCGGAGAACAGGAGAAGAGGGGTCGTGAATTCTTGAATTGCTCTCTTTGTCTGATTGTCTCTTCGTTTTCTTTGTTATTATTACCTACTGGATATCTTTTCCATGTGATGACGCGTTTCAATGGCCATAGCAACGTCCACTTTGTCATCCATTTTCTTCAGTTCTTCGTCTCTCGTGGAATATCGTCAACAACTACACCAACCCATGTTCTATATTCAGTTCTTCGTTCTTTGTTTCCTCTCTCTTTGCTTTCTGTTCATCGTTATGCATAAGAGATTGAAGAGAACAGAGAATAAGGATGGAAAATCATCCCCAAATTCGCTCTCCATCTACAGATGTCCTCTCTCTAACGATATAAATAAAGCCCAGCAGCAAAGTGAGACCCATCAGAACCATCCACTGATTGTAGAGATTCTCACCTCCAGTCCTTCCAAATGGGCCTCTCTAGTTTCTTCCGTCCCTTCTCATCTGACCGTCGGCAATGGTGGGAAGGCACCGGAGAGGTTGCTTTCTGATGGGTCAGAGTTGGGTAAGGAGGGTGGCGATCCTATTGACAAGGATTGTGGCAAAAGTGGTGACCAAAGCGATAAAAAGAAGAAGAAGAAGAGGGCCAAGAAGAAGCAGCAGCAAAATTTCCGAGCGGAGGACAGTGGCGAGGATGAGTGCCTTGAGAGCCAGGTACCCTTAATGCAGGACAAGCATGGTTTTGACTGCTTGTATCCATTCACATCTTCGTCCAGTGTGACACAGAGGAAGATCAAGCAGCAATATGATCAACTTGTGAAATCTAACGACTCGAAGGCCTTAACGTTGGCTCAGGTCAAACTTTCTTCACCGATACAGGGTCCTTTTGAAGAAATTCATTTTGATTATTGGTGATATAAAATTTTCCATTGGTTCCCCTTCCTTTGTTAGTCATGCAGATTTGGTAAATATTTATAACTATATATATATATATATATATATATATATATATATTTGTTCAAATTTCAATATGTGTTAACTTTGTACTTGCTCTTACCCACGCCAACGAGGCAGCAAGAAAATAACTAATGGTGGAAAAGAAAGAAATTTTGGTTTAATCATCTTCTTTTAGGGAAATACAGTTTCCAGTGAAGCTCATCATTATCGTCATCGTAGTAAACCTTTCTCATTTAAATCAATAGAAGATTCTATTCTTTTCGAAGAGTGAATATCTATCATGCTTGCCCTGACTTACATTTTGAAGATATATAATGTTATACAATGTTTTTAGGATCTTCTGTGATCTCTAAGATGGTAGGTATTCTTTTTGTCTTTAAGTGAAATAATTCTCAGATAATCATATTTACATTTTTGGGCTTTTACCAGAAACCTCCACCTATTCCCTCTTTCTCTGATGATTATAGATTTTATTGTTGTAGTATTTATAGTAGGGGACATTGCTTGGTGTAGTGGTAAAATCTCGTGTTGACAAACATTAGAAAACGGTTTTGAGTCTAAGAACAGCTACTCTGTGCGATAAAATGCATATAAGCAGGATTATCCATCAGCCATAGTTCTTGTTCTGGGGCATCTAATTGAAGCTTCTCTTGACGTAGACATGAAATATTCCTAACCATGGGCACTTAACCAACATCTTTGTGATTTGGTGCTAAGATTTATCAATTTCATTCTAATATTTATAACCAAAGAGAAAAACATGGAAGAGTAAAACGTCTTTGAGCATCAATATGGAAAGTATAAATGCTAAGAGCATGTGAACCTCCTTTCCATGTTTTCCTTTTTATCCTCACAACCACAGGTGCTTTCGTCTTTCTGAGCGCCAAACCAAGAAGGTTTCATCTTTGAAAGGTTATTGTGTTATCTGCTAAAATGATGATGATATGGATAGCACTTGAGTGAGATCTCACTGCTGTAGGGGGAATGGATGAATCATCTTTTCCTTTTTTCCCCTGGTATTTCTATTGCTTCCTATTTTTCATGCTGCATGGAGTGGTCCACTGTTTTGTGAAGCTCTTCTTTATTGTTGGTTGCTCTCTTTGAGTCTTGGGGAATGGTTAGTTGGTTATTATTTGTTATTTTGTTGGTTTACTTGGAAAGAAAGGAATCTCAAGCTTTTATTTTTTTAAACTTGAAAAAGACTCTTATAACCAACGGACCCCACATCTTCAAGTATGGTTGTCTAAGGGGAGAATGCAGCCTTGGTGGGTATTGCATGCTCCAAAAGGACTGCCTTGAGTTCTCTTCTAAAGATATAGCTCCGGAGTTTCTTACTTGATAGTACATTGCCTTCCTAGTGCAATCCATACCTGGGCTTTGGTAAGTATGTTTTGTCTAATCTAGGGCTTCAAGAGGACAATATGAGTTATTCGGTATATTGGGATATTTCCCAATGTTTTTGACCTTCATTGTTTGGAGTGACATTTTGAGACTGGTTCATCTCACTTGAGCAATTATCAAAATATCTTGGTCTTTATTCCTTAGTAGCATCTTATCTTATCTTCTATAGATGGATGCATGATGGGTGGAGTGGATGGCTGCATCTACACTTTTGGTGCAATGGATTTTACAAAGACTATCTATTTTTATGATTGGCCATTGCATATAGGCTACCTAAAGATTTCTAATATGTCAGTTTCAACTTGAAATGTGTCAAACACAAGTTTTGTACCCTACCCCACATACACATATGTATTTGTGTTCTTGATTAAAGATTTTGGGGTTTACCTAGGTGAACACCCTGTATCCACGTCAAAGTCTTAACCTTTGTGTCCATGTTCAGAAATCATATAATGAATTAAAGGATTTAATTATGTGGTTTATGATATCTGCATCATGAACAAAGACTTTCTTTAAAGCCCACTTTTTCTAAGGTTCCCTCTTCTATCATTTTAATTAAAGGTATTATGTAGTCTTTTTTTTTATTATGTGGTTCACTCACCAATGGCCATATTCATTTATCTTGCATAACCTTTTAAGCATACTTAAACCAGCTTGAGTTCCTTGCAGATAACGTGGATAAAGAACATTGTAAATGCTCTCTTTTTTGTTTTTTTGGATTGGTAATGCTTACCATATTCAATATAAAAATAAGAAGAAAGGGCATGCAAGTTGTATACAAGTGAAGAACTCAAGAAAAAGATGTTCATTTGTTCTCTTGGAGTGCCCTTTCATGATTACAGGCTGGGAATGTTGTTCTTCAAAGTAGTAAGACCTTCAAAGAGGTTGAGTGCTTATGACTTAAAGGAGCCACCAGCACTAATATGATGGCCCTTAGGGTAGCATAGTTTGATCTCCCAAATCATCCCTTCTAACTCCACTAGTAGAGAATCCTGGGTTATTAAGGGAGCAATCATCAATGTTTAGCTTCTCTTTACATCCATTGTTGGAAGGATCCACTACATCCAATTAGAAACAGGCTCCAAATAGTAATCTTTAATCCAATAATATTTCTAATTGATGCCCATTGGATTTTTTTTTCTCTAGAATGATGTAGAGGATTGAGATCCACAAGGAAACCCAGCGAGCAATATTCTCAGTAACTCCATCTAGGCATTTTTTTCTTTTTTGAGAGTTCTTTTATTTTGATATTCCCAAATGTTCCTCTTGCCATCATTTGCACTTTATAAAATCTTTCTTTTTCCTTTAGGAACCATTTACCCAACTTCTTGCATGATCCCCAACTTTAAAGAGAACAAGTTGAACCAAATAGGATCAGAAAGTAGGCCCATAACTGCTAGGCTATGAATGTACACATGTTAGCTAACTCTAGTCAATCTTAAGGGCATATTTATGTGAGGTTGGTGGGCCATGGACTCTAATAATCTAATTTGAAGCTAATCAAAGCATAATCTTCTTTAACATGGTGGCCCAAAAAAATTATTTGCTTTGATGGAGCAGAGCACTATAAATCAATCTGTGACAAATCATGATTAAGATACTTTTATAGGACTTATTATTAGGGGAAGACCACATTCTAGAGTCAGGGTAGACAAGGATATGAAGACATGATTAAGTATAAGGGGGAGGTTATTCATCAGTTTCCACATTCTAATGTTTCTGACATAGTTGTCAAAATCTTACAATTTATGATACAATCCAGTTACTTTAGTTATGAATTCCAAGGGATCCAATTTGGATTTTTTTTGATAGTCGATCCAATTTGGATCTTATAATATAATCTTTCTTTTTTTGAAAAATTTGAATGATTTTTCATTTGAATCTTGCAAGTTATCCCATTCATGCAAATTAAGTTGTACGAAATCTAGTGTTATACTTTGTCAATTCTTTTTTAAACTTTTCTAAGGCCTTTGTTTTAAGATCCTTACTAGACTAAGACTTATTTGGGTTATCTGAAACCTACTTAAAAAGCCTTTTGACTTTAATTTCCCATATATGTAAATTAAAGAGGAATCCAGTATGGGTCAATTGAATTTAATGTCAAATTTGATTGTATCATCTTATGCTTATACTGCTTTCACTGTATGACTGGTAGGCTTTGACACTTTGTTGTATTAATTACTAATATGGTGGATCTGGATTTGAAATGGGTTTAAAATCATTTTCTATATATTTAAAGTTTTAGGACATATTTTTAACTTTTGGTAAATTTTTGAAAAACCAGAAATAATCTTACTATTTATATATGATTCAGTTCAATTTTCTATGCTTCATGATATGATTATGAATTTTCAAGCATTGATTTCTAAAGAAATGGAATTTCAATGAGGGAGGGAAAGCAAAGGGATCATTAGAAAGAGATAGGAAATCCAAAAGAAAACTGTCTTTGTAACTAAAAGTACTAAAAAGTACTAAAGAGATGAGGAGGAATGTACAAAGATGAAACTAAGGAGTGACCTAAATAGAAGATTTTTCCAGGATTTAATGTGATCCCAACATCCATATCATATTCATATAAAAGGGCCAAATGGAAGCTGGCTTCTAATAGATCCTCAAAGGCAATGGAATCATTCTTTACAATGTTTTAGACCCCAATCATTTGGAGCCATAACATATTTCCTACAACAACTGATGACAAGTAATTGGATCATATGAGAATCTCCAAAAGCTATTTGCCTAAGGGAGTCTTGTTTCTCTTAAATTTCCATTGTTCAAGCTATTTCCCTTTATGAGTCTATTTTCTACCATTTTACAGGTCTTCTTTCTTGGGAGTTGGGATTGCTTCCCCTTCCAAACAAAAAAAAAAAAATCATTGGTGTCTGTAAACCTCTAAATTAAATGGACAAAGATAGTAGACTTGTAGATTGGCTACAGTTGCTTTAACCAGTGGGATACTGGCCCCAACCAAGATATAATTTCTCTCTTTCATGATTTCACCTGGGGAGCCAGTTATCAACCTCACATGCAAGTCAGCAAAGCTCCTTGTTTCCTACACTCATTAAACTCACCACCAAGACAGTCTTACCCAAGTTAACATTCAGCAACCAGCATCAACTTAAAAGCATCTTAAGATGCTTTTTAGGCAGGTAATATTCCTTTTACTTCTACTAGTTTAAAGGTTATGCCATTGATGATCTGTAAGTGGAACCCTTTTCACTACAGTGAATAAGAAAGAGATAGAGGATCCTTTTTTCTTAGTCTCCCAAAAGATGGAAAACGCTGCTTTGGACTTTCATTAGGATCCTACTGTACATAGAGGATGACTGAAGAATTTCTGGTACACATGGTCATAGTTTTTTCATGGAATTAATTTGTTTGCTAGTAAAATAATACTGATGGGACTGATACCAATTGAAAAGAAAAATCTTAGCACTCTACCTTATATGTGTGTTTCGGGGTGGGGGTTAATTGGGGTTTCATATGTTACGAAGCACCTT